CAGCTTACTACATTCCTTGGATCTAAGGTTTCGAAATTTAGTTGAGTCGCTTACCCCTTATTTTTCATCCTCCTCCTTTTCTTTTTCTAACATCCAAAATCTTGAAGTACGATGTCCTTAGAGAGGGACACATACTTTTAAAGCCAGCATTTGTGTAACCACTGCCCAGCTCCAAAATCAGAACATACCACACTCAGAAACCCACCCTCAAGAGGTAATTGCTCTCCCAAGTTTTATGGTGATTATTTTCTTGCCTTTTTCTAAGGGTTGCACAACTTTAACATGCCTTTCTAACAATATAATTTAATTTTGACAGTTTTTGGACTTTCTATCAATGGAAACATACTGAACCCACTATTTTTTTGTCTTGCTTCTTTTTCTAAATACTATGTTGTAAGATTCACCTATGGGGCTGGCCCAGTGGTACAGCAGTTAAATGCACACGTTCCGCTTCAGTGGCCTGGGGTTCGCCAGTTCGGATCCCGGGTGCGGACATGGCACCGCTTGGCAAGCCATGCTGTGGTAGGCGTCCCACATATAAAAAAGTAGAGAAAGATGGGCATGGATGTTAGCTCAGGGCCAGTCTTCCTCAGCAAAAAGAGGAGGATTGGCAGCAGATGTTAGCTCGGGGCTAATCTTCCTCAAAAAAAATAAAAAATAAGATTCACCTATGTTAGTAACATGTCAACCATTTTTATTGCTGTATAATATTTAATTATGAGGATTTACCATTACTCATTTTACTGGTGGGCGTTTGTATCGCTTCCAGTTTGGAGCCTTACAGACAATATTGCTACAAAGAGTCTCGCATATGTCTCCTTGCACACGTGCATGAGTTTCTCTAGGTATCTACCTAGGAATGGAACTGCTATGCCATTGAGTATGAGTATCTTCAATTTTGGTAGATGATGTCAATCTACATAATTTCCAGAGTAGTCATATACTTTACACTCCCTCCAACAAGGTATGAGAGTACCCCTTGCTCCACATTCTCACCAACACTTGGTGCCTTTTTAATTTATGCAACTCTGGTAAGTGTGAAGTCTCTTTGTGGTTTTAATTTGCATTTCCTTTACTCTGAAAGAAATTGGTCAATTTTTCATATTTTTATTAGCCCTTGGATATCTTTTGTAAAGTGGCTGTGCCATCTATGCATTTTTATTTATTGGATTTCCTTTTTTTGTTGATATGGTGAATTTGTTAAATATTTGGATATGAGCCTTTTGTCAGTTAAATCTATGTGAAAATATCTCTTCTCATTTGTCATTTTACTCTTGTCCTGGTGTCTTTTGATAAATAGAGTTTCTCAATTTTAATGTAGTCACATTTATCACTCTTTTAATTTGTCATTAGTACTTTCTGTGGCTTGTTTAAGAAATCCGTCTTTACCCAAGTGTCTTAGTTTGGATACACTGAAGAACAACCTCTGACAAGGAGATTTGCATGCTAGAGGCTTACCTGTAAGGGAGCGAGAAAAGCAGGTCTGTGCAGAGGGGAGAGTTGAACTGTGATGGACTTGCTCGGCAATCCCACAAGCAGCTCTGAAGGGGAAGGGGTGCTACAGAGTTTTGTTGAAATATCTTGCAAGGAAATATACTTTTATATCAGCCGTAGACGGACTCAGATGTGAGCAGTCAGCAGCCAATACTCCTGGCAGCTGAGGAAATGAGTCCCTCTGTCCTGTGGGGTACACCATGACATCCGCTACAGTCTGCCCCTAGTGCCAACTGCACCTACTGGCTTTGTATGCTAAGTTCACCCTTGAGAACAGCTCTTCCAGAATTCTGTTTGGTCTCTTTCCTAGAAAAAATTAAAAGAAGAGGTTAGCAGGATGAATATAGCTCCTGTCACTAAAGCTGTCTTTACGTTGCAACTTATATTTACGATCTGTCTCCAAGACTACCCATTCTAGATTGCCCACACCCTTAGCCAACATCTCTGCTGGTCTATCAGATGGCTTACTTGATATTCTGACCCAGATGCTCATCCTTGAGTTGTCTGAGTCCTTGGTCAACTTACCCTCTCAGCTCATGGCTGCTGCACTTGGCCACTAACTATCAAAACTGGGACGGGGTGTATCACTGGATCAACTAGGTGCCAAACATTTCCTTCCCTGTCCCCTTGCGTAACAATGGAGGAGCCCTACCTGCTCCCATGATAAGGGTCACTTACTCCTGCCAGTATGGCAACTGCTTTCCTTGACTGATAAACTCTTGAAACAAGGAGGCTGGTTTCCCCTGGCAACCTTTAGATAATAGAGTCTAAAGTTCAGGAATGAGAAGCACATATTTTCTAAGTAGGTAAAGGGAGTGATGCTAAGCTGAATCACTCCTACTAGGTTTTCAGACTCATATGTTCTACTTATTGGGGACACAAAACCACATGATGGATGTTGACCTAGGGTGTATGTTACATCCTGGAGGGTGGCGCCTCATCCTTTTAGGACGCTCCCCTTTCTTAAGTAGAGGAAGGATGCTATTGGCCATTTCAGGAAACAGAATTTTTATTTCACTGAAATTCTCCTTAATTACAGAGTCAAATTCTTGCATTTTAGATTCTCCTATCCTATCACTTATTTGAATCTCCAAATACGGTATTTTATCTGATTTTTCTGATTTTTTTTTCTCTAAAATAAATTTTCCTAAAGAATCTGTCAGAATTTCTATGGAATTCTCTTATGCTACATTTAAGAATTACAAAGAAGTATTTTTCTCATGTCCACCTTTCCAACTAGTTCCTCCACAGTGAATAGAATTAAGTCCAAAATAGCAATGCCCCTTGTTGCTGCTTCCGCCTTCGAAAGGAGACTATTTTTAGCAAGTAAAGAATGTAGGAAATATTCAGCTTTCATAAAAGACTCTTCAATAACTGAATAATTGAAGGCTTTCACTACTATAACCTGCTTCTATGCCATAATCTTTATTAAATGAAGCATCACACATACGTTATTTCAGATGGTCAGTACGTCACTCCTACCTTAGCCCCCGTCTTTCTCACTTTCTCTCTTAAGTGCTAGCCCCTGAGCCTCTTTTCTTGGGTTAATCTTGGAAAATACAAGCATATACTTTAATATGCATTGTTTGAGGCTCTACCCCTTGTATTAAATCTACTTTAGCTCTGTACTTAAAATATCACTTCCGGCCCACAAAATCTCAGTGATGTTTCTGACGTTCTATTTACTATCTCATACTGAGCTTTATTCTTTTCATTAATATTGTGTATACACCTGAGGGAAAAAAGAAGTATTTTTATTTTTTCCCTGTAAATTTCTGGATTCTGCCTCGACTCCTCTTCCCACTGTGCTTTGTCACACTTGCTGTCATCCGTAACACCTCATTTTACAGTTTTGGGGTTTTTTGCCTCAATTACTCTTCGGGCCCTATTAATCTGGTTGTCCATTAATTAACCAAAGAAGTATTTCTCACATTCCTGGAATGTGTGTCTCTTTTCCAAGCTATTTGATATTTGTGACTATGAATCCTTTTTTCTAATACCATCTGTGTAGCCAATTTGTTCATTTATCATATCCTCTTAGCTTGTCAATAGGGATGACTTTCAACTGAAATAGGGAAAGAAAATGCAATTTATGCTCCCAAGGCTTTCTATTTCCAGCCCAGGACTGTAAAGTCACTAGAAATATAAGAGATTTCTTGTCTCACTCATTCTACAACAAATCAATAGCTGTGGGTCAGAGTTCACAGGTCTGGTATGATCTGTCAGGCATTCAGTTAGAACACTGAAAATACAGAAACGAGCACAAGTAGGTCTTAACATCTGTGAACGAGATCAGAATGTGCTCCATCTGAATATGCGGTCAATAAAAATCTACAAATCATATTAAACCTCTTTTCTGCACACAACTGAAAAGATGATTTGAAAAGTTTGTTTGATGAAATTAGGTGTTTGTCTTGTTGGAAACCTCCATCAAGGCTTCCGTTTCTCATTAAGAAAAAAAATTAACTAAAATGAGACATACTCTTGTATATTTAAAATGTCATCATAACTAAAGAACAGTAATTTATGTGCAATCTGAAAAACAGATAACTCATACCTCAAGCATTAGGAATTCGTCAAGTGTTTTGGTTGGTTCTGTCAATGTTTGGGGGAGAGGATATTCTCATTCTTATGTTCCATGCAGGTTAATAAAATGAACAAAGGTTTTACTACCAAATTCGATTAAAATATATCATGAAAAATCTAACATGCCCCCCCCAATAATCTTTTTTTCCCAGCTTGATTGAGATATAATTGACATACAACAAACTGTGTATATTTAAAGTATACAATTTGATGAGTTTGACACTTGCATATACCCATGATATAATCACCACAATTAAGATGGCGAACATGTCTCTCACTGCCAAAACTTTCCTTGTACTCCTTTGTAATCCCTTCCTGCCACCCCTGCCCACATACCCCCACCCCCACCCCAGGCCAGCACTGAGCTGTGTCTGTCACTATAGATTAGTTTTCCTCTTCTAGCATTTTATATAAATGGGATCATAAACTATTTATTCTTTTTTGTCTGGCTTCTTTCCCTCAGCATAATTATTTTGATATTTATCCGTGTTGCTGTATGTATCAATAGTTCATTTCTTTTTGTATTCTGGTATTCCATTCTGTGCATATATCTCAATTTGCTTACCCAAATCTTTGGTTTATAATTGAGCCTTCTTCAGTGAAATTGTGCCCTCCTTAACATGGCTACCATGAAATGTCCTGTCGCTGGTAAAATTGATCAAGTTACATTTCTGAAGCCACAAAGCTGAGGGCAGACCTAGGATGGATAGAGTTTCCCCCTGAGGGTGGAAAGCTCTGTAGGAGGTCGGTTTCTCCAGTCCCTGGACACTGTCTTCCAGTCACAACACCATGGAATTGGGAATCTGTCATTTTAGCTGTGAAACAAGGTAAAAAGTGCAAAGCGACCTGATTAAGAATGATTAAACCAAAGGAAAGACCCACTTCTCTTCTCCTCCACACCAATCCCCTTGTCATTTCAGACCCTTAAGGGGAGCTGTGCGGCATCGGTGAAGGTTGCCATTGACCTGGGGTACCGGCACTTTGACGGGGCCTACATCTACCTGAATGAGCACGAAGTTGGGGAGGCCATCAGGGAGAAGATAGCAGAAGGAAAGGTGCGGAGGGAGGACATCTTCTACTGTGGAAAGGTGAGATCGTCCCTTCACCCTCCATCTCCTTAATTAATGGTGGATCTGATGTCACTTTTCTCTGCTAAAGAATGTTGGACTCACCAAGAGGAGCTGAGCTCTCAACTGCCAAATTCCTGAGTCTTGCCAAGAATTTCCCCCTTGAAGATTAGGGGAAAATTCCTTCTTCATACATGGGCATTGATTTAAGACAATATGGGAAGAGCCAAATCTATAAAGCAGAAAAATTGGGGAGTGGAGGGACGTGGGAGGTGGTTCATATGACATAAGCATTTGCCAAAGCTTTCTTTTAAAGGGAAAATTTCTTTTTCTTTTGTGTATGCCTACTTGTCCATAGATCATTAATTTTTTTATTGAGATGTAATTCACACATGCTCTAGTTTGAAAATCCAAGCCACAATTTTTCATTACCTAATACTTTAGAGATCAAGCAATTTCTTTTTCTTTTTGTTAAGCTAAGTTTCTGTTATCTTTTTCCAGCTTTATTGAGACATAATTGACATATAACATTGTATAAGTTTAAAGTGTACAACACACTGATTTGATACACTTATATGTTGCACAATGATTAGCACCATCATGTTAGCTAACACCTCCACCACATCTCATAATTACCATTTCTTTTTTGTGGCGAGAACATATCAGATTGACTCTCTTGGCAACTTTCGAGTATACAATACAGTATTGTTAACTACAGTCACCATGCTGTACATTAGATCCCCAGAACTTATTCATCTTATAACTGGAAGTTTGTACCCTTTGACCAACATCTCCCCATTTTCGTTTATAGATAGCTGTCTAATTATTGATTTTTGTTGGGGATAAGGAGGCTGGGGTCTCCTCCGCTGCCATTTTGATGACATCATTGGTTCAGCCAGAGATCAAGTAATTTCTTAGTGGGAATTGGCAGAATTTCCCTGGGATCTGAGTAGGACCAAATGAGAACAAAGGAGCAGTGAAAGGGAATCTAAACCTTTGGAATAATTGAAAATTTCTCCAGCTTCTGCACCGCCCATCACAATGTGACGGATCCAGAGCAGTCACACACACAACCCTATTTCTTGCTCAAGAGAAGCAGACCTTTTGTCAGAATGACATGAAAAGCACCATGCCAGGTCAGAACAGCTAGTCTGGTGCATGTTCCCTAATTACACAATGAGGACAAGTGAAAGTGCTAAAGGTCAGTCAGGAGATGAGCACCAGGTGGGGGAAGACTCTCTCTGAATTAGGTACTCTGGGTTTCAGGTGGATCTTTAGGTCTCTGGTACTATATTCGGATAAAGCTATACTCTGGATGTCAAGAGTTATATCAGCTCATCCTATGCCCAGATGACAGTGCAACATAAACATATTTTTGTGAAATGAAATGAGTGAATAAAATGTGCATGAATGCTTTGTAAAGAATAAAGGGCTGCATTACAGTAAACAGAATAATGTGAATGTTAGTTAACAATCCCCCTGTTATTCTTGCAGCTGTGGGCTACAAAACATGAGCCAGAGATGGTGCGTCCAACCCTGGAGAAGACACTCAAGGTCCTCCAGCTAGATTATGTGGATCTTTACATCATTGAAATACCCATGGCTTTTAAGGTGAGCTCAGATGCCTAAAGATTAGGCCTCTGCCCTTTGGAAACCATGAGCCAGCAGCTATATGCATGAAGTTAGTTCATTACTTAGCACCATAGAAGGTGTGGTGTTTTGTTACTATAGATCAGATAGCACTGACCTAGCCCAACAGATGCCCAGAAAGATTATGTACAACAGACTGAGGTCTGGATCCCAAGTTTCTTGATTCATAATCCAATGCACTTTCTATTATATCATGTCTTTACAATGATAGTTTAAATTCTCTCCATCAAACCAACATGTAGTCTCCTAACTGTCGTCCACATTTCAGTTGCCTGGCATCCAGACACCTTTCTTCCCACTCACACAGTCATGAAAACATCCCTGCACCATATAATGCAAAATAATATATACAACTGAAAACTTACCCTCCACCCCCTCCAAAGGGAAATAATCCAAAGAACAGTGAAGTTTTTGGAGCTAGCTCCAAGATCAGGAGATCTATGTGATGTCCATTCCTCTAGTTCAAATGCACTCCTTCCTTGAACTTTCTAAATCTATGAGCTCAATGTCAATTTGAGCACCAACAACACCCCCAATATACGCTGCTGGAGAGGAGTAACTGCTGTAAAAGTTCACTGAGGGAAGGAGAGTTTGAAAAACAAAATTGGCCGCTTGTTCATGAGGTAAATCAGATCCAACTGGTCAGGAAGAACAAGGACTCTCGGCCATTGCAGTGGCCAGAATTCCTTCACGTGACCAACCCGGCTGCTCCCGCTCTGTTCTCTGGAAGTACTTTCTTTACTGACTCTCCTCTGTGGTCACATCCAAGAAGAACATCAGGGAAGATTCCCCTTTTGCATCTTACTTCAGGTAGATAGGGGTTCGGAGGCTTCACAATGGCCTTGATAATCGCAGCCCCCTATTGGTCAGGGTGGGATTTTACGGACAAGACAATATCCCTTAAAAGCTTGATAGGCTTTCAGTAAATTCACATTCAGCCAACTCCATGAATGAGTAATTAAAACTGGAAATATTCTATTTCTTGCATCTAATCCTTGGCCTGTGGTTTCTGTCTCTTAGTAATGAAGCTCCTTGTTCTCCTCATTTGCCCAGTCTTCAGCTTAATGGCCTCCATATGGCTTGAAATATACAAAAACAGGGAGGCACAGATAACTGGGTGTTCCTTGCACCCAGTCTGTATCTCATGAGTGGTGCACTTTTGTCAAATAAGGCATCCACGGCCTGAGGTTTTGCCTTCAGAGAGACACTGAGGACCAGAGTTCTCCCCAGGTCCAATTTTATTTCCTCTGGGATTCTTATCTTCTTGCCTTGGCTGGTACTGACTTTTCTATCTCTGGAAGGCTCAGAGCTAAACTTCTGCCATCTTGGATTGCATCCAGGAGATGAAAGTACCCATTTTAGCAAAATACCATCTTACCTCTCGTCTTATAGGCCCAGTAGCAACAAACGCATTTATGTTTCTTCAGGACCTGACTGAAGACTGTAAAAATGACCAAAAAACTCCAACACCCACTGTTTTTCTACTCAGTCCCCTAAAGCTCCAATCTTGGTAGGCCCATTGTCTGAACCTAAAGACACCACAAGGCAACAATTTTTTTCTTTTTGAGGATGATTAGCCCTGAGCTAACTACTGTCAATCCTCCTCCTTTTGCTGAGGAAGACTGGCCCTGAGCTAAGATCCATGCCCATCTTCCTCTACTTTATACGTGGGACGCCTACCACAGCATGGCTTTTGCCAAGCAGTGCCACGTCCACACCTGGGCTCCAAACTATCGAACCCTGGGCCGCCAAGAAGTGGAAAGTGTGAACTTAACTGCTGTGCCACTGGGCCGGCCCCCGACAAGGCAACAATTTAACCAGATGTCATGCTATTGCATAGCAAGAACTGCCAATTCTCAGCTGGAGATGGGAAAATCCTCACTGTCCACAATCCCATATTGACCTAAAATTCCACATTTTTGGTCTATTACTTACTATATCCTGACATCTTTGTATTAGTCAGGACTCTTGTTATAAATGGCAGAAATTCAACTCAAATTGGCATTAGCAAAAGAGGAAACTAAGAATTCCAAGAGACATCTAATTCAGGCACAGCTGGATCCAGAAGTTCAAACTACTATCTGTACTCTGGCCCTTTCTCTATCTCTGTATTCTGGTTGGCTTCGTTCTCAAAAATCCTTCTCTGTATGATGGCAAAAGGGCCATTGACATGCCAAGCCTACATTGTTGACATAACTTGAAAATTCAGAGAGAGATTGTACATTAAACCTCATGGAGAAATATTGATTAGCCTTGCTTGGGTCATGTACCTATTACCGACTAACCTTTGGTCTAAGGACATGGATGACTGATTGATGTCTATGGCCAAGAGTGCAAGCTGGGTCAGCCCAGCCAAACAACATGGAACGAGCTCCTTCAGAAGAGATGGCACAGAAATGGTAGAAGGCAAAATAGGAGATTTCCACTATACTCATTAGTTAGAGGTAGCTTTGCACAGTGGTAAGGAGCATGGGCTCCAGAGCCAGGCTGCCCAGTTTGAATCCCAGCTCTGTCGCATATGAGCCAGAGGACTTGGTCAAGTTATTACCTGATCTCTTTCCACATCACCTAAACCTGGTTCTGGGGAAAGAGTATGGACTTTGGAGTCACACAGAAGAGGGACTTATTTCCAGCTTTATTACTTACTAATATAGTCACTTTGGTGTCTCCAAACTTCAATTCCATTATCAGTAAAATGGAGACAACAGGGGCTGGCCCCGTGGCTGAGTGGTTAAGTTCGTGAGCTCTGCTTTGGTGGCCCAGGGTTTCACTGGTTCAGATCCTGGGCACGGACATGGCACTGCTTGTTAGGCCACGTTGAGGTCGTTCCACATGCCACAACTAGAAGGACCCACAACTAAAATATACAACTATGTACTTGGGGGATTTGGGGACAAAAAGCAGAAAAAAAAAAAGAAGATTGGCAACAGTTGTTAGCTGAGGTGCCAATCTTTAAAAAAAAAAAAATGGAGACAATAATAGCTAACTTGCCAAGTGTTGTGAGGAGTCGTTAAAATTAGCCGTGTGAAATTATTGACACAATGCCTGAAATTTTATAGACAATAAATGAAAGATAATATTGTAAAATGTTCAGGTGGAAAGGAACCTTAGCAATTATATATCCCAACAACTTTTTTCACAGAACAGAAAATTGAGGCCCCAAGTGATGCCAGGTTTAAAGTCCATGAGAACTGGAACCACATCCTGGGTCCCCTGATGCCAACCCCACACTTGTTCACTATTACACTGCCTCTCCTGTCTTATCCTCACAAGCCTAACAATTCCAATACCTGCGGACTACAGTGATTTCTGGATTTCAGGCTCTTGCGAGTTATAATCTCAGCCCTCCTCCTCACTTGGTTAACTTTGACTCTTGTTCAAATGGCACGTTGCTAAACTGAGTCTTAAAGATTTGGAAAGAACCTGTATTTAAAAGTGAGAAAATGAAATTTACCTCTCTATGGCTGACTAAACTCTTTTTGGAGAAGTAAATAGAGAATTTATATTCTTATTTTTAGATGGGATTGAGGCTCAAGGACACAGAGAAATTAAAACTTTTAACAGTGAGAAATGACACAATATAATGATGTTACCGCCCAACTGAGCCTGTAATTCCTGTATTTGAGAAATCAATCTTTGAAGTCAAAATAGCACATGGTTTTGAATTTCATGATTTTTTAAACAAAAAAGACTTTCTTGCTGAAATGTTTTAGCACTGTACTATTTTTTAAATGTCAAGTTAACAAGCAGACACAATTTCGGAACAATAAAATACAAAAATACCTGATAAGACTTTTTAAAAAGATGAATAAAGTTGCTGCTGAACAGGAATGAGAATCAATAGCGTGGATTTTTAGAGGATTGGATTATCCTTCTAATAATGCCTCACAGTAAGGAGCCGGAGTGGAGGAAAAAGACAATGGACTTATCCGGATGAAGGACTTAGAGAAGTAGGCACATGGAATCTTAAGGGGGACATCATAGTAACATCTAACATGGGTTTAGGCTTGATAAGGACTTAATCAAAATCTGGGAAAGTAAAAATTATTTAACAGAATTCACGATGGAGGCATAAAGCCATTTTGGAACAGAAGTGAGATTAAGAAATGCAAAAGGCAAGAAATATGATGGGAGACTAGAGTGGAAATGTGGGTCATAAGCGTGGAGAAGGTCAAAGAGCTTAGAAGTCAGAGACAGAAAGGATAATTAACATGAGTGATTACATGGCATTGGGGAGAAAGGAGCTCTTTTCCTGCTCTCAGTGAGAAAATTGAGACAAAACAGTCTTCACTAAAGAGAACAACGGAGAAAGTGTTATCACCAGGGAAAGAGTCACTCAGGTGAGATGGCAAAGGAAAAATTAGGGGAAAAAAATTCAAGAATATAATGGATTTTGTCCAACTGCTTGATTTTCACCAAAAAAAAAAAAACAAAGACTTCCATGCTGCCGGCCAAATCCAATAGACACTTTGTCCTCATATTATTTGGTTTCTTTCAACACTGTTGACTACTAACTCCTTCTTTAAATATTTCCATCTCGTGACTTCTGTGAGATCACCCTCTCCTGATTCTTTGGTAGCTTCTTCTCTTCCAACCTCCAAATGTTATGCCCAGTACTCCATCCTCAGTATTCTTGTCTTACTCAGCATACTCTCTTCTATAGGTGATCTTATTCAGCTGCATGGATTGAATACCATTTTATACACTGAGGAGTCCCAAATTTTATCTTCAGCCATGACCTCTCTCTGAGCCTCCCTCTGAGGTTTCTCTGTTCAATTGCCTCCTCAAATATCCATTTGAATAGTCATGTCAAGCTCAAAATATCCAAAACAAAATTCTTGATTCCTAGCCCAGGCTTAGGAAATGATTACCACCATCCACCCAAACAGCCCAGGAATCATCTTTTATTTCTCTCTATCCCATTTCAAAGCCCTTAAGAGATGAGTCCCACTTTTAGATATAGCAAAAAAAAGAGAAATAGAAAGACAGTGTTCCACACCATAATCAGTCTTAGTTGGGAAAGGATCACCCTAAACTAGAGAAGGCAATTTCATACTCAGATGGTGTGTGAGGTAGAAAAAGAGATGCCGAACTTCCGGAGGGCCCAAAGAGGGAAAAAAAGAACCACTGGGTGGTTAGCCAGAACTGAGAAGTAACATGCTGTGCATTTCCCTTATACTTAGGGAGCATTCCATTCATCAACTGTACTTTCTTAGTTGAAGAATTCCCTCTCACCTTTAGTGATGATCTTTTGTTTCTTATGAGAGTAAGAAATTTATATATTTATAAATATATAAATAATTAAACTTGAATTGCTTTTACAGGGCCAAGTATATTGGTATACTGACAACTCAAATTCCATAATTTTAATCCCCAGATATAAATCAAATGAATTACAATTATTCTTTTTTTTTTTTTTTTTTTTTTTGCAGCCTGGAGATGAAACCTATCCAAGAGATGAGAATGGCAAGTGGTTATACCACAAATCAAATCTGTGCACCACTTGGGAGGTAAGTTCAAGTGGGCCTCTTTAAGACTACATTTTTATTTCTTTGAACAAGTGCAGAAGTGCTCCATTCTCCTTCTCATCTCACTCTGGAATACCTATAATCCTTATGTTGCATTTCCTAATTGGGTCGGATATTTCTCAGAGAACTTTCTTCATTTCTTCTTAGTCTTAATTCTCTCTCCTCCTCCATCTGAAGCATTTCCGTATTTCTGTCCTCAATGTTGCTGATCCATTTCTCTGTGATATCAGCTCTATTGTTGAGGGACTCCATATTCTGCTTTATGTCATCCATTGTGTTTTTCATCTCCAATATTTCTGATTGGTTCTTCTTTATAGTTTCAATCTCTTTTGTGAAGTAGCTCCTGAACTCATGGAATTGTCTATCTGCATTCTCTTTTAACGTGCTGAGTTTTTTAATGATAGCTATTTTGAATTCTCTGTCATTTAGGTTATAGATTTCTGTGTCTTCAGGATTGACTTCTGGGTACTTGTCATTTTCCTTCTGGTCTGGAGATTTAATATATTTTTTCATATTACTACACAGTGGATTTTTGCTTCCACATTGTGGTAGTGTTTGATCACTGCTTCCACCTGTTGCCACTGGGTGGGAGTCAAAAGCTGCATATTCTGAGCCTATTGCAATCCCCAGGACAGCTCCCAGCTGCTGGGCTGGGCACAAGGCCAGGGGGAAGGATGCTTTCTTTCTCCTGCGCCACCTTGGAGGCTTCTCACTCTGCCCCTGCTATCTGCTCTCCTGGGGTGTTGGCTTGATGAAGACACCCCTGTAATATCTATTCACCTCTGTGGGGGGCTTTCCTCTGAGCTGTGAGGGACTTCAGAGATCTATGGTGTTCCTTAAGAGGGCCACTGCTCCCTTCTCCTTTTCCTCTCGGAGGCCGTGTGCAATCCCCAGGTCGTTGCCCTTCAGGGAGGAAGAGAAGCTTTCTCTTACCTTCTTCCATTTCCTCAGGTCAGGGGATGGCACTCCAGGACCTCCACCTTCCCAGGTATGGCTGTGTGGATCTCTCAGACATCTTTTGTGTTGTATGAATGTCCTCTGTTAGAATATAAATGTTCTTTTCATTGTACTTTAGAGGGGTCAGTTTATGGGGAGGGGTCACTCTGCCATGATACTAACATCACTTTCCAAAAGACTACACTTTTAGACTGTGATCTGACTATTCTTGTCTGGTTTATGGGGACATGCAGCCTTTACTCCCAATGGAAAGCAACAGAACAGCCATTTCTAACCATAAGCAAAGATGTCTAAAATCTCTGCTTCTGGGTGCTGAAAAATTCTTGATTTTGCTTTGATGGAAAAGAAGAATGCCAAAGATAAGGAAGAGAGAAGGGTGGAAGAAAAAATGAAGTAAAATAGATGTTCTAATGTAATAGTAAATTTTGAAAAATATATAAATGAGATAAACTCATAAATCCTAAAAGTTTCTCAAATTGAATTTTAAAAAATCAATAATATGACATCTAAAAAAAACAAACTTAATTGGGTGGTGAACACGATATAGTTTACACAGAAATCAGAATATGATGATGTACACCTGAAATTTATATCCTGTTATAAACGAATGTTAGTTCCATAAAAATAAATAAATAAATAATAAAAGAAATAAACTTAAAACAAAATGATACATGAAAAACTGAAAATTAATTCTGGTTCCATTTCTGAGCAGGCTGCTGGCACCTTCCCCAAGATCACAGGAGTGGGAAACCAGGAGAAAATAATAAGAAAACTCACAGATTCGTGGGCAGAGGGACAGATGCTTTGAACAGATTTGATTATGAGATAATGTGGCAGCTTTCACCTAGAGAAGAAGGCAGCCCACCAAGCAGTAAGGAGGAGGGACTATTGGAGTTCTTTTTGCTCTTACTCCTCTCCTGCTATAGCCCTAGGACAAATATTGTCTGCTCCACGCTTGCAGAAACTTAGGACTTGTGTTCAGATGTCTTCAGGAGTCAAATCAGAGCAGCACTGAAATCTTGCACTTGTGAGAAGCCGAGAAAAACTTAAGTTACTACCTGACCGCTGGCAGTTGTTTCTCTTGCTCTCTAATTCCAAACTCCAAAAGCTGGGAAATTAGACTCCAAAGAGTATCTCTTTCTAATAGACATCCCCCATAGGTGACAGCTGAAGATCTGAACTGTGGAGTTGTTTTAAGAGGTGAGGAGGCACTGACTGGGTTTTCTGGTGCCTGGGGCTCTCCACCTGGGAGACCATGTACTCACTCCTGACCTCGTTGGAGCTGACTAGGCTTGGAGTCTGGTGTTCCCCTCAGAGGACTGCCTGAAAGCATAGCCAGTATCCCCAGGAGAAAATGAGCTCACAGCCCAAAATGGCAAGGCATTTATTTCACAAGGAAACAACGTCTCAATTACAGATCCCAACATAAACAAAAGAGAGGACCAAGAACTTTTTAATCGGCAAATGAATATAGTCAAGGAGATAAGAAAAGATAGTAGCAATATGAAACAAGAACAAGAAAACCCTTTTTGAAAACAGCAAAAATAATAATTAGAAAACATCAAGAATGCAATAGATATGATAAAAAATAAAATGGATATAGACAAGGAAAAAAATTATCAGATTGAAAGATCAGAATGAGGAAGTCTCCCAATACAAAGAGGGAAAGGACAAGAAAACTTTTAAGTATGAAAGAAAAGCTAAGAGATGTAAAAGATAAAATTAAAATTTCCAGTCTCCACACAATAGGAGCCTCAGAAAGAAGAAAGAAAAATAAAAAGAGGTAATATTTGAAGGAAAAAACCCCAGAGATATTGAAAGGGCATGGATTACCAAAGAGGAAAGAGAAGGAAAACCATACCCACATGCATTTTGGTGAAATTCTAGAATAGCAAACATAAAGAGAAAATATTAAAACTTCCAGAGTATAGCAAACAAGCCAATAACAAAAACAAAATAGAGTAATAAAAAAATAGGCAACCCAAGAGAAAGCAGGAAAAAAAGAAAAGAGGGGAAATGAATAGATGGGGAAAATGGAAAGCAATTAGAAAGATGAGAGATCTAAACTCAGTGGTGTCATAATCACAGTATATGTAAATAGCCTAAATAACCCAATTAAAAGGCATAGGTTGTCAGAATGGATTAAAAGCAAAACCTCACTATATATTATATACAAAAAATCCATTTTAAATTAAAAGACACAAACAAGTTAAAAGTAAAAGGTTGAAATAAAATAAGAAAAGATATACTAGGCTGACATTAATCAAAAGGAAGCTGGAGTAGCTATTTTAATATCAACAAAGATTTCAGAGCAAAGCGTATTACCATGGACAAAGTGTGTTTTACAATAATAAAAGGGATCAATCCTTAATATCTATGCACCTAATAACAGAACTCCAAAACATGAAGCATAAACTAAGAGAACTGGAAAGAGAAAGAGAATAATCCACAATTATAATCAGAGATTTCAAAACCTCTCTCTCTATAATTGAGATAATAAGTAGAGAGAAAATCTATAGAATATAGGAGATTTAAACATTATCAACCAACTTGACCTTGATATTTATAGAATCCTTTGCCAAAATTTAATAGAATGCTATTTTTCGAGTTCACATGGAACATGTAACAAAATAGTCCATTTTCTGAGACATTAACAAATCTGAATACATTTTAAAATATTCTCTCTACTTATTATCTCAATTATAGAGAGAGAGGTTTTGAAATCTCTGATTATAATTGTGGATTATTCTCTTTCTCTTTCCAGTTCTCTTAGTTTATGCTTCATGTTTTGGTAGTTCTGTTATTTAGGTGCATACGATATTAAGGGATTGATCTCTTTTATTAATTGAAAAACCCCCCTTTGTCCCATGGTAAATACGCTTTGCTCTGAAATCTTTGTTGATATTAAAATAGCTACTCCAGCTTCCTTTTGATTAATGTCAGCCTAGTATATCTTTTCTTATTTTATTTCAACCTTTTACTTTTAACTTGTTTGTATCTTTTAATTTAAAATGGATTTTTTGTATATAATATATAGTGAGGTTTTGCTTTTAATCCATTCTGACAACCTGTGCCTTTTAATTGGGTTATATATTCTCTATCTGAAGTATGCTGTCTGATAAAATTGGAATTAAATTTGAAGCTAATAACAAAAATATATCTGAAAAATCATCAAATATTTGGAAATTAAGAAGCATACATGTAAACAACCCATAAGACAAAGAAGAAATAACAAAAATTATATCTATATATAATCTATAGCTAGCAACACAATTGGAAGTTAAATTTTTTAAAATATTAAATACTTAGAGATAAAGTTAACAAAATCTGTGCAAGACTTATACGGTAAAAATCACAATACCTTACTGAGAGAAATTTTTTAAAATCTAAATAAAGAGATATACCATGTTCTTTGATAGAAAGACTGAATACAGGTAAGATGTTAATTCTTCCCAAATTGACCTACACATTCAATGCAATCCCAAAAGAAATTGAAAAGCTGATTCTAAAATTTATAAGGAAATACAAATAACATAACAATAAAAGATTCAATTTACCAAGAATATACACCAATCTTAAACACGTATGTACCAAATAAAATATCTTCAAAATCTATAAAGCAAAAATTGATACAAAACAGGAAAACATTGATAAATCTACCATTATAGTGGGAGATTTCTGACATATTACCTTTAAATTATTGAGAAGCCAGGAAAAAGGAAACCTAATTTTACATATAACATATGTAAGTGTATATAGACACACATATGTACGAGAGAGAGACAGAGAGAGAGGAGAGAGATGCTTCTATCCAAAAATAGGAGAATATACATTTTTCACACACACTAAACATTTATAAAAATTGACCAGGTAACATGCCATAAAGAAAACTTCAACAGATTTCAGAAAATAAGATCATTATTAATATGTTGGTATACATTGTGAAAATAGAAGGGGAAGATATGGTATACAATATTTCCCAGACTCATTCCTTTACAAAATTCCTGCCTGTCTCTTCTCCCTTTTTTTTCCTCACACAATTTCTATTAACATACACAGGGACTTTGTTTTCTAAAGAATTCATAGTCATCCTTATAAACCCTTATTCTTACTTGTTTTGAGGCTTCTTTCTTGACCAATTGGCTCTCACTCTCCAGGCTTTGGAAGCTTGCAAAGATGCTGGCTTGGTGAAATCCCTTGGAGTATCCAATTTTAACCGAAGGCAACTGGAGCTCATCCTGAACAAACCAGGACTCAAATATAAGCCAGTCAGCAACCAGGTACCTCTTGACAGGGGGCTGGGAGGTAAGGGCGTGGGAGCAGAGAATCCAATATTTACTTAACAGAAAGAAGCCCAGAGTAGGAGTGAGAAAGTCTCGTAGTCACTCTTCATATATCTCCTCATAAGACCCTGGGCAAGTCTTTTGACTTCCCTCAATTTATGTCTCTTAAGAAAAAAGATTTGGAAGTTCAAATTTATGCAAAGGTAACTCCAAAAATATTTTGAAGAAAAATAATAAGGGGAACAAAACCTGCCAGATACTGACATATAAAATATTAAAAATAATGTAAGCTTAGTGCAAGAACTGACATAAAAATAAATACAAAATAAGAAATATCTTAGGAATGGGTCCAATTATACTAAAAACTTAGCGTAAAACAAAATAACACAAACTAATAGCAAAGGGATGGATTTTTCAGTAAATAGCATGGGGAAAATAGCTGGTGATGTAGAAACAAATACAGATATTTGCCTCATGTCATACTCCAAAGTGTCCCTTTGATCAGGAGCTAAAGAAGAAAGAGGAAATTGTTTGTAAATACTACAAAATGATTTTAGTTTTCTGGAGCTATGGATAGAAAAGAAAGCCACGGGAAACTTATAAAGAAAATTGATACATTTCATAGCATAAAAATGCTAAACTCAAAATATTAGCAACAAAGAGCAAACGAAAATAATTATATATTTTTTTAAATATAATAGAAAAAAGGAATCGCATCCTTATGAATTAAAAGCCTAATAAAAATCAATGGAAAAAATCAATGAGAAAAAATACTCAGCAGAAAAATGGGCAAAAGAAATGAACAGAAATTCACAGAAAACAAATTGCAAGACTGGTAAACATATGAAAAATGTTCTACTGCACTAATAATTACAGAAATTTACATTTGTTTTGTATTGTATAAAAAATTAGCAAAGCTTTTGTTTTATTTTTTAATATAACGTTTCATATAAGCAAGTGCTGAAGTGCTGGCAAGTATAAATTGGTTCATCCTGACTAGAAAGCAGTTTGCCAATAAGTAGCAAGAGCCTTAAAAATGTTCAGTTTTCTATTTCTAGGAATTTATCCTCACGAAAAAAATCAGATTGCCCAACATGTGTGTTTGTCATGGCACTGTTTATAATGGTACACAAAAAAAGGAAACAACATAAATATGAATAATTAGGGGAATGCTTAAATAAATTATAAAACATTCCTATTATGTGAAATCTTAACAAAAGATGTTCTTGAATCGTTTTTGAGGAAGAGAAAAATGGCCATGATGTTAAGGGGAAAGATTAGGATACAAAATGTAATACGTATGAAGATGATTATATTATAAAAAACCATGCATAGAAAAATGATTGGAAAGAAATATATCGAAATACTAACTGTGGTTATCTCTGGCTGTGGATTTTACAAGTGAATTTTGTTTTCTTCTTTATGCCTTTCTGTATTTTCCAAGTCTTCTGTAGTGAGCATATATTACTTTTATAATGGCAACGAAATACTATTATCCATCTTGTCCAATGGAGATAATGATACCCTCTTTACCCTACTTCATAAAACATAAGAAACCACACTAAAAAATGCTCTTGGATTGAGTAAATATTCACATATTGGGATTATGGTTGGGTCGTTTGTTTGACTCATTGTTTTTAGTAACTTCAAAAGAGCCTGGTATGAGTTCATAAGAGAAAGAATGAATTATTACCTACATCATGACAATAGCCCACAGCTAAACTAGAAGTGCTGCTATATTTACAAGTACCACTTCCAAACTGACACCTGAGCTGACGCTATCCCAGACGCTCTCGGGACCCGAGAGCAACAACCTTTGACTTTCTAATGGATCTCAATCCATCCCTTTATTCCCACCCAGTCCCTCATTAGCACACCTCCTTCTTGCACCCTCAAGAACAATATTTTGTTATAAAATGTTGAAATGATAAACAGATTTCTTCTTACAAATATACAGAGAAAGATGGTGACTTTTGACCTCAGAATGAAAAACAGTAAAAATTTGATAGCTGTCTCCTCAAGCCAAGGAGGAAATAACCCTGATTCATCGGCATGAGAATATGGATCAGCTTCACAAATATACCCCATGAGGGAAGCAAGATGTCTTGGAAGATCATAGCCTAAGCCTATTCATATGTTCCGTGGTGTTTGAAAGTGGAATATGTCAATACTCCAGAGATGGCACAGATCAAAGGGCAGGTCTGCTGGTCACCAGCCATTACCCGGTGCACTGGGTAGGACCACCTCTCCTCCAAAGATACAAAATGAGCAGCTTGCAGCGCACAAGCATGAGCAGCTTTCAATCCAGGTGCAGGATGAGCATATTATGGGCATTATACAGAGTGGACACATTTTATGTGTAAAGGATACGGACCTGCAGACCTTGCATAATTCAAAATTCACATATTTCAAAACTAATTTTCTCATTAGAGTAAATCTAAAGTAAAATTGGCAAATTTTTGTATTTTTCATTGACTTCATGAACAAATTCTCATGGAATATAGCCTCACTCTGCACTTATTCTCAGGGCCTGAGCATTCCAAGCTTCCTTAGTACTACCTATGACGTCCCTCTAAAGAAACGTGTCTCCTGGCTTAGTCTGTCAGAAACCCTTCCTGGTGGGCAACTTGTCATGCAGGGCTTTCCCAGCCTAGTTCAAAGGAGACCACAGATCCACCTCAGGCCGTTTAATTTCACGCAAAGTTCCAACGCCTATTCTACTAATGAAGGAAAGGAGCGGGGAGGACAGGAGAAGGGAGGGAAGGCGAAAGGAAAGTTCTTCCTGACTAAGTCACAGGTGTCCTGGCACATAGGAGTCAATAAATACCTCTTGAGAGACTTAATTAATAAAAGGAAAATGCAACGCAGTTTTTTACAGAAAGATGGAAAAGGATGGGATTAATGAACTAAAGGGCTTTTGCTATTTCCCTTCACGGATTCTATCCAGCTTCTTACCTTCATATTGTGAGACTTTGTTATCTAAAGCTGTAGCTTTACCAAATAGTTCTGTAAAAGCCCCAGACGTGTCAAGACGCTGACAAGTTACATCAATTTTACATAGCAAACACGGAAAAGTAAAGCCTGCATCCCCACGGACCCATTCACAAACGGTTGTAACCAGCCCCTCGCAAAGAAGGGAGCAAGTGTGCCTAGATAATGCTTCTACTTGAAAATGAGGAAGTTCCAGGGCATTGATGATATCAGAAACCATCACCACCGTCCGCCTTCGCCTGAGCATCCGGTCCCAGCCTACTCAACGCGGATCAGTCCCTGGCCTGAAACGACCCCATCCGGCTGCAGCCCTTATGAAGCGCAGCCTACACAGCTCTGCAGCGTTGACAGTCAGGTCTCCTATGATTCAGGCTCTGTCCTCTCTGTATGGCTGTTGTTTTCATTCACTCAACAAATAGTCACCGAGCACCTGGCTTCTGCCAAGCACTTCACTAGGTTGTAGGCATACAAAAGTGACCAAAGACGGACAAAGTCTTTGCTCTCGTGGTGCTAGCTATCTAGTGGGAACAGACATTAATCAATCATCAAAGTTATTTATTTAGAAACTGAGAGAAATGCTGTGGAAAGAAGGAATGTGGTTCTCTGAGTTCATATGCACTTGGATCATATTAGTTTACCCCACCTCACCCCACCCCACCCCAGAATTCCCCTCTCTGAGTGACCCTTTAGGGATATGTCCTAGAATTTTTATCTAAGAACCATCTATGCAAAGATTTATGTTACATCAGATTATATTATTTTTATGTTATAGTTTATATTATGTTTGAGTTTATATTACATTAACTCAAAAGTTTTTGTTGAGTACATGGTTCTAGTATGTTGCCAAACGCAATTCTGTAAAGTCCCAAATTTGCTCAGTCACAGATTTTGGATTCGCATGCCTGTTTGTTCTATTTTTAATTGTACTAGCCCTATTATGCATGCCTTTTGCTACAAACCATACAAAATCCTTTTTCAAAGGATATTTTATAAAAATGTTCAATATACATATAAACACAAATACACATATATATACACACATGCGGATATACACATACATACATATAGATATTTAATAGGCCAGAGACAGGTAATGGCACACCACCTGATTAGTGGGTAAAATTAAATGTTGTGTTTGGAACAAGCAGGCAGCCATTAAATTAAGGAATTTTAGTCTCTAAACAGTAGAGTGACGTGATAAAAGATGTCTCGGAAAGAGAAGTCTACTAACAATGAATGTTGAAATGAAGTTGAAAAGAATAAAAGGATTGGAAGTGGAGAGTGATGTTGGGAATGAGAGAGGGTAAAGGAAAGAAATACAATGAATGCTACGATTCCTAACTTATTTTAGTCTATGTGTCACCTTTAAGAATTGCTCAAGAAATGTTCCAAAGGGGGAAAAAACCACAAGTGTTTCTTAGGGAAAGATTGTTCTTAGGGGCAAGATTATAAGGAAGTGAGGGGAGAGAGAAGAAAGAGGAGAAACTGACATCAGTAAAAAAGAAAAGTATATCAAATTAGGAGAAAATAAGACCCACCGCTAAGAACCACAGTTTACCGTTCCACTTCTCAATAGCATTTCCTTGTGCCTTCTAGAACTTGTCAAATATTCAATATTCCAGATGGTGAAAATAATAAGTACATTCCTAAAATATTTTAATTAAGGCTTGGTTGATTTTAATTAAAAAGAAAAGAAAAGCGTAGGTAAAAACTACCATAATGTTTAAGAAGAAGCTTGGAGAAGAACTTTGTTGACGCAGGTATTTGTAGCGCAGGAATCTTGTCAATGAGATACTGAAAATAAAAGTAGGCTTGCATTTAGTGGTATAAAGAACTCTCAGGCAAGAAGATAAAATTTATCTTTAAATTTAGTTTTATACATGCACCACCTCTTGTGAAAATATTCTTAGATGTTTGATAGTTCAGGACAGAGGTTTCTGCAACATGTCCCTTCTACTTACCAAGACCATAATCTGAACTTTTAGACTGTATGTTTGCCATGGAAAATTCTGTTTGCCAGAATTTTATTACAAATAACTGAGTCTGTCCAGTTAAAATTTTTAACTATGATAGCGATACAAAATTGAAGTTGTCCCCCAATTATTTTAGAATTAACTCAGATGGAGACCTCACCAACCTTGTTCTAATTAATCTCACTGGTGTATAAAGAATGTAAACTCTCTCATTAGGAAAAATATTTAAGATTTGCCTTATTATCCGTAATGCTTTTACATGGATTTTATTGAAGAACATTTTTTGTTTGTTTTTTCGGTGAGGAAGATTTGCCCTGAGCTAATATCCATTATCAATCTTTCTCTTTTTTTGCTTGAGGAAGATTTGCCCTGAGCTAACATCTGTGCCAATCTTTCTCTATTTTGTATGTGGGTAGCCACCTCAGCATGGCCACCGACAAGTGATTTAGGTCCACACCCAGGATCGGAACCTGGGAACCTGGGCCGCTGAAGCGGAGAGCACGAACTTAACCACTACACCAAGGGGCAGGCCCTAAGAAAATTTGTTTAATTATGTAAAATTGCATTCATCTACAAATTTAATTTTGTGCTCTGCTCTTCAATGCAACCACATAGGTTGAGTGCCACCCATATTTCACCCAGCCAAAACTCCTGAAATTCTGCCAACAACATGACATTGTTATTATTGCATACAGCCCTTTGGGGACCTCCAGGAATCCAGTCTGGTAAGTAATGTTGTATCTCTCTTCAGGAAGTGTTTCCTTTGGTGCAGAGTATGAGGCTAATGTGAATTACCTGGTTGGAATGGCTCTATTTGGCTATGTGATCTCAAGAATGTATCTTAACCTCTTCGAGTCATTCTCCATGTAAACAAATTAGAGCTAATAAAACCTTCCTCGCTGAGGGTTGTAAGAACTGATTACACTAAATGTATGAAATTACCTAACAGTGCCTGAAACATAGAAAATGCTCAATAAATATTAGTTTAGGTATTATTTGACAAAGAGTCTCTGTGGCTGTATTCTGCAATTTTAGAATTTTTTGATCTCTGTATTCAATGGCGACACTTCCACTGTGATGTGTTCCACAGACTTAAGTAGAAATTTTTTTACTCTGATCCCAAGAGTTGTGCCTCTGTTTCTTCCACTTCAGTCTTCCTGCTTTCCCCTATATGCCTACTTCCAAACCAGTTCTCTCTGTAAGACCCATCAAAGAAATGTGGTTTACTTTCCGAAAGAGGCAGCTCTATAAACTTGCCACTCTCTTTTTTTTTTTGTGAGGAAGATTGTTGCTGAGCTAACGTCTTTGCCAATCTTCCTCTATTTTATGTGGGATGCCACCACAGTGTGGCTTGGCGAGCAGTGCTAGGTCCACACCCGGGATCTGAACCTGCGAAACCCGGGTCACTGAAGTGGAGCGCATGAACTTAACCACTACACCACCGGGCTGACCCTAAACTTGCCTCTCTTCATCTTCCCATACTAAAAGCGACTCTTCATCCAGTACTCTGCACTCAGAGAAAGAGGTTAGAGGTGACCTGAAGTGTCCTGGTAGGAGGCCAGGTGAATGGGAAGACAAGGGAGGAGAGTGAGTGATCAACCATTGCTTCTCATTACTTGAGCTGAATACGATGCATGTTTTGATTTTTTTAAAGGGTGAATTTATCTTCCCCACCTTTGTTAAAGGATGCACTTCTCAACTCACTGGGGAAAAAGTATAATAAAACAGCAGCTCAAGTTGCTTTGCGTTTCAACATCCAGCGAGGAGTGGTAGTCATTCCTAAAAGCTTTAACTCTGAAAGGATCAAAGAAAACTTTCAGGTAAGAGAACTGCTTCTGGAAATGTGAAAAATAGAGTATTTTTTATTTAGAGAATTTTCTGTTCAGATTAATAGGAAACTTGTAATGCCTTCATATTTCATCTTATACCAGCGCCCCGACCCACTCTGCCCGTATCTGGATTTAATTTTAGCTGAATTTAAAACAATTCTCAGTGCTTTGGGATTGCTTTGCTGCTTGTACATTACCCCGTCGCCTTATTTCTTCTGTTCCCTTACCTGTCCACCACTACCCACTCACTTCACGGCCAGCACAGCAGGAAAAGAAAGAGTAAAATTTGAAATTTGCAATAGTTAACTTTCCACCTTAATGACTCTGGTAAAAGTTGGGGACAAAGTTGGAAATTATTCAAGAGGGTCATTTAGATTACACGAATACTAATTGCCTTTATCCCTTCTATAAGTAATCTATATTCTGCATCGTAACTTACAGGTGAGAAAAGAGGCCACTGGACAAATGAGCGATTAATATACTCTGGTACTCCTAAAGACTAATCTGCTAAATAAATACAGCCATGGTAAAGTACCATGTAAAGTCAATGAATTGCCCATCGGGTAATAAGTTAAATTTCAGAAGTAGGTTGTTTTTTCTCTTACTCCCAATTAAGATAAAAATGAGATAGTATTTAATCCCCTCGGATAGAAAAATGATGAGAATGTTGATGATGCGTGGGAAAATAGGCACTTTCAAATACTGCTGTTAGAAACACTAACTGCCATAAAATTTGGGGAAGGAGAATGCCATTTTTCCAGATCGATCAAAATTCAAATGCACGTATCCATTGACCCAACAATCTTATCCAGAGGTATTTGCACATACATGTACACGTACATAGATGTTTATGGCATTACTTATCATTTAAAAAAACTGGAAACAATCTACAATAGAATGTTTAAAACAAATTATGATATATTACAATTACAGTGAAATATTATATAGCCATTTAAAAATCATAAAGTGAAAACGTTAAGTACTGACATGGGAAGATATCCACACTATTAGACAATTTATCTTCATGGCTTTTTTGCTACCAAGTGACAGAACACAACTCAAGTTTAGCCAAGAAAAAGAAACATAGTTTATTGGCTCATATAACTGGAAAGTCCACAGCTAGGTCGTACATGACTGGACACAAGGATTCAAGAGATTTATAAAAGGATTGAGTTCTCTTTCTCTCTCTCTTTCACTCTCTCTCTCTCTCCACATGGTGGCACAAACAGTCTGGGCTAATCTATTACTCACATTCAGAAAAGATGACCACAGATAAAAGCGTCTGTTGGGGTCTCTGTCAATCCCCAATTATTCCTTTGTAGGTCATTGGCCACCCCCATATTAATCATGGTGTCCATTGAGCAGGTGCCTTGATTGACTCCCTGGGCTGCATCCCTATTCCTGACCTGGAGGAGGTGAGGTCATGGGGCAAACACCCCACGAGGTGGGGGAAGGGAAGTTCATAAAATGAAAAAATGGATTCTGTTATTTCACCCTGACCACCCCACTGACACAGCTCTCGTCAGGGTTACCAGTGACCTCTACATTGCTAGATCCAACAATTAGTTCTCAGTTCCAGTCCTATTACATCTTTCAACAGCGTTTACACTCTCTTCTTGAAACATTTACTAGAAGAGACGCAGGTTTCGTGAGGGGGATATCAGGAGCTCAGTTTTGTGATATGAGATTCTCACTCACTTAGGATCATTTGAGCCATGAAAATAGAAAGAGAACTGAAAATCAATCCACATAAAATAAGGAAAAACCATATAGAAATAATGGAGGAAGGGCAATTTGGAAGTTTATCTTAAAATTGAAACAAAATTATGAAAGTAATTTTACGTATCTTTATATTCAACAAAATTTAGGTAACAATTGCATATGTGCACTAAATCTTAGAAGAAACAGTGAATCAGAGCTGATTTTTTAAAATATGCTTGACAAAACTATGGTATAACACAACATGACATCTTCTTCTTCCCAGAGGTTTTTGCACTGTGATCATAAAGAGAATAATTTTTGTAAAATTTCAGAGGGCTTCATCTGAAAGAGATTTTTTTTTTTTTGAGGAAGATTAGCCCTGAGCTAACGACTGTCAGTCCCCCTCTCTTTTGCTGAGGAAGCCTGGCCCTGAGCTAACATCCATGCCCATCTTCCTCTGCTTTTATACATGGGATGCCTACCACAGCACGGCTTGCCAAGCGGTGCCATGTCCACACCCAGGATCCAAACCAGTGAATCTCAGGCCGCCAAAGCGGAACGTGTGAACTTAACCACTGCGCTACTGGGCTGGCCCCGAAAACTTTTGATTTCTTACACAATACTTGGATGATAAATGATGAAAGAAAGGGCTCCCTGAAAAGAGCACTTAGAAGTAATCCGTGGGGGATGATTGAGCAGATTGTGTTACATGGATGCAGCGGTTAAATGAATATAATCTGTCTATATATTTTGACAGAAAAGATCAGCAAGACTGCGTGAATGAGAGAATTTTCAGAAAAATAAAGACAGGATACAATTATTGCATTTTGCTCTCAGTGTGTTCAGTGTTTGGAAGGAATGTCTAGGAAGAGGGATAGTTGGTGGGTAAGAAGAGGAACTTTCGCTTTTTATCCACACGCATCCATGCACTTCTGTACCGCTTCATCTCTTTACAGAGAACATATATTTATGTATTACTTAGAGAATGAAAATTTGTAAATGGTTAAATATACTAAAATAAAAGTTAAGGGATAGAAAGATAAAACAATAAAGAGAAGATATATTACAGATAGAGAAGCCAAATATTAAGAATATAAATAAGCTAAAATAAAATTTGAAAATGTTAATAAAGGACAATTGTAAAACCAGAGTGTATCTGGGGCTTGCCCAGTGGCGCAGCGGTTAAGTGTGCACTTTCTGCTTTGGTGGCCTGGGGTTTGCTAGTTTGGATCCTGGGTGCAGACATGGTACCGCTTGGCAAGCCATGCTGTAGTAGGCGTCCCACATATAAAGTAGAGGAAGATGGGCACGGATGTTAGCTCAGGGCCAGTCTTCCTCAGCAAAAAAGAGGAAGATTGGCAGCAGATGTTAGCTCAGGGCTAATCTTCCTCAAAAAAAATTAAAAAATAAAATAAAACCAGAGTATAAAGTGTACAACCTAAGAAAAATTAAAACAATGAAAATGTAATTAGAGTTAAAAGGTAGAAGAAGAAACATTAAAAATGATGAGAGAGAGGATTAAGATAAAACAAAGCAGGGGCCAGCCCCATGGCCAAGCGGTTAAGTTCATGTACCTCTGCTTCAGAGGCCCAGGGTTTTGCTGGTTTGAATCCTGGGCATGGACATGGCACCACTCATCAGGTCATGTTGAGGGAGCATCCCACATGCCACAACTAGAAGGACCCACAACTAAAAATACACAATTATGTACTGGGCAGCTTTGGGGAGAAAAAGGAAAAATAAAATCTTTAAAAAAAAAAGGAGAGACCTTCTTAAAAAAAAAAGATAAAGCAAATTAAAAGTTTAAAAATTACATAACAAATTTAGAGACTAGGGAATATTTAAAAGAAAAAGTGGTTGAAGGCCATAGTCCAGAATCTAAGTTCAGCATCTTATCCAGAAACGATAGGAATTCTTTACTCTTGGAATTTCAGATGTCAGAATGTTACTGAAAATTCAGTTTCTGGTCCCGATGCCAATCCAAATAATGAGAACAGAGTCTTGAGTGAAAAAGGAAAGCTTTGCTTTGCCAGACTGAGGGAGCAAAGCAAGGGCTAGTGCCTGAAGAATTGCTAGCTTCCTGTTAAGAAATGGGTAGGGGTTTTTATTTGGGGTTTTAGGTAGGGGAGGGGAGCCGTGGCCTTCCTGGTCAGCATTTTCCCATCTGCCTATGTCTGGGGCTGCTTCCAGCGGAGGAGACAAAGGATTTCTCAGATGAGTGTCCTTGGCTGTTTATCTCCATTGTGGAAGGCAGACTGATGTCAGGAAGCTGAGGAGTTGGGCCTGGGAAGCTTCAGTTTCCAGATATTCTCTGGACCTTAGTTTCTCTGTAAAAGAGCTTCAGGATCCTGTGATAGCCACAGCTTTAGCGGGAGCCCAGCTTGAGGCCATCTGGACTTTAACAATTTGTAACTTCTATCTGGTTGTAAAGCTCAAGGAGTCAGAGGTTAAAGAAACAAACATTTACATATGAGTGTGACTAAAGACCCAGGGAACTGGGAATGTGTGCTTTTAGTTTTAACCCCATGCATGCTGGGTTCACTATCAGGTAACCAATATCAGGGCTGATATTAACCAAGAGCCAGTAACATGAATATATGTTGTTTCAGAGCATTTGGGATTTCTTGCAAGATGTCCCCAGCAGGATTATCTTAAAGACAAAGGGCAGAAGAGCATTCCCACTCCACGTCAGTTCAACTAGTTCAACTGCTCTTAAATATTTACAGAGATGTTCATAAATCTTTGAAGGGCTCCCACTGCTGACCCCACTCCCTCATCCCAAGCTTGACCCATCGTCTACCATTATAAGTATCTGTCTTTTATTTCTATTTCAGATCTTTGACTTTTCTCTTACTGAAAAAGAAATGCAGGACATTGAAGCCTTGAATAAAAATGTCCGCTTCGTGGAAATGCTCATGTGAGTTCTGGGGGATCATTAATCAGGCGCTGACCGGTGGTGTTAGAATGTCAAACAACCAACAGAGATCTTATGAACCACACCTCTGTCCACAGAAAGTACAAGGGTCATGGCCAGCAGGCAGCATGTTCTGAATATCAAACAGGTCTAGTTGAATTACATCCGTGCTAGGAGCTTCCTACAAATTCACGTTTTTATTTAAAAGAAGATTGCTGGCATTTATATAACATCTCATGACTTAGGTTAAGGTATGGCAGGCTAAAGACCTTGAGGAGAATTAAGCCATAGTGTACAAAATGTTAATACAATAGTGGCACAATTATTCAAACAATATATGTATTTCTTCCTAAAAATTAAAGTGATGTGGGGCTGGGCCCCTGGCCGAGTGGTTGAGTTGGCGCGCTCTGCTTCGGCAGCCTGGGATTTTGCCGGTTCGAATCCTGGGTGGGGACCTAGCCCTGCTCATCAGGCCATGCTGAGGCAGCGTCCCGTATGCCATGACTAGAAGGACCCATAGGTAAAATATACAACTATGTACTGAGGGGCTTTGGGGAGAAGAAGGAAAAATAAAAAAATAAAAGTGATGTACAAATTAGAGCAAAGTTATCAATAAAAAAACAATTACTAGGAGACAGGCATGAGAGCATGGAAGAAAGAGCACCAGGTTGAGAGCCAAGAACCTAGAGTTTTAGACACATGCTTGCCTATAAGATTTGGCAATAAGAATTTTGCCTATAAGCTGACTTCCCACAAGCAAAATTCCTTACACTCCTTCAAAATATTGCCAAATTCAGCTAATCAATGAAGTAGCCCTTTATTCTCTAAATATTACAGGTCCTTTAAAATAAAAAAAGAATATAGTTCATACGTATACACACACACACATATATTTGTATAAATACAGACACATCTTTTTCTTCTTAATCATTCTTTATTAGTATTTCCAGTTCTTCACGTCACCTGGATAGTCATCATCTTGTTGCAATCTTCTTTTTCGTGAATGTTTAGAAAATGCTCATTAAGATGGTTTGTATAGTTTAGACACTTATCTTATTGGCCCCACTACTTTTCACGAGTCAGAAAGCGCTTTGACTGTGCTAATACCAAATTTCTGAATCAATTTCTAAATGAATAAAACAGCTTTCTAATGTAAATTTTCCAGCGGAAAGAATTACTCAACATCAAAAGGCACTACCTAGCCTCAAGAATAAGAGTGAACACCAACTCAGCACTAACCTACACTTCTAGGTTAATTAATAGCTCTTGAAGATAAATGATTTCTACTGAATAAATAACATTAAATTAAGAAGAGATAGTAAGATATAGTCAATCCACCAATGTACTGACTTTTTTACAGTTGGTGACATTATTTGGTTTGACACGACATATTTAATACCTAATTATAGCAACACTGGGAAAATAACTCACTGTACCAGGAAATAACTTGAAAAATCAGCAAGAAAAAGAAAGATTAGGCCCCATTCTTCAAAAAAAATGTCTGATTTAGGGATATGGGGCCATGGTTCTTCTCTATTTTTCATCCAATTGATCTTTGACATTTGAGAACCATTTTTTGGTTTTATATTTTGATTTAAAGCTCATAGTACTTGCAGAGAACTGAATCTTAGATACGTTCCATGACAGGCACACACGCGTTCATCCTTTTATGGACCGTTTCACCATCGTTGTTTAAGAGAGAGTTTCATCCTTACCACCACCACCATCATCATCATCAAGGAAACTTACTCTGCTGTCATCACCTTTATAGACCTCAAACTTTCAGTTCTCAGGGGGCCTAGGGAGAAGGGCAAGTAAAAACTCTGAGGAGGAGAGGGTGACACTGACTGGCAACAGAGCTTTGAAGAGAAGCGCCTATGTAGTTCACTGAAATGGGAGGCAGCCTGTATCAGGAGAGCAGAATAGAGGAAGGAGCCGGGATGAGGCCTGGAAATATAGGCAGGCATTGCTTACCTCCTGTGTTTTGTTCTGAGCAAAATGTTGAAGTGGAGGCAATCCGCCTCCCCTAACACACGCACTTACACCCAGGGTGCTGCCCAGGGTTTCACTAAAAGGTGCTCACTTGAGGAAAAACAGAGGAGGAGAGTGGGTGAGAAATAGAAGGGAATGCATAAGAGAGGAGGGGGCGGGCAGTGAAACTGTCAAAGGAGTGAACCTTTTCCCTTTGGGAAATTGTTTTGGCAGGTGGCGTGATCACCCCGAATACCCATTTCATGAGGAATACTGACTTCAGGGAGCTTCTGAACTGCTTTTTCCCTCCCATGTGCGCCAGGACCTTTGGCTGGGTGGTTCCACCAGATGTGGAAATGAACGGCATTTTCCTGTCCTCAGATGAAGTGGTGATGGAAACGATTACTTTTGGGTAGTGTAAGTGACTTTGACCTAGCTATGTTGCAGAAAAAAAATGTTTAAATCTGTTGAAATAATTATTAGAAATTATCAGTTAAGATTTTATTAGATCAATGTCTTCTGGGTTCCCAGACAGAAAAACATCAGGCTTTAGATAAGACTTCAGAGGCAACATATGAAGATAAATAACCTGAATCGGGTACTACCACTGGTAGCCTGAGTTTGTTAGTACTTAACAGGGCAAAAAAGAGGGTGGAGAGCTGCCACATGCCAGTGTGCTGGCAGTGGCCTTGATGGTTTGGACGACTGACTGTAAGACAGACACAGCCAAGATAAGATCCACACGTGCATTATTAACAAGGCAGTGATTTGCTGCACCTTGAGTAGAGAGCAAGAGCTAAGTGTAGAAGGGTCTTACAATAAAGCTAATTAAATACCACAGCAGTCAGCAAAGCCATTGTGACTTAGTTGTTGTCTGTTTCCACCCAATGTACATTTGTTTAGTTTTTACCTAGCTTGAGGAACAGATAATTGCTGGTTTCCTCTTGCATGCTTTAAAGGGCCTGAGCTCCAACCTGACTGGTGAATCATACTCGCACTGACTGTCACTCTTGCCCCCATTCATCACAGGGCCACCGTTATACAAAGTGGCTTGAGACAACCAACATACACAAATAAAGCCTTGTATCGTAAACAGTCCAAAGATGACTGTTTTAAAAGAAGGCATTTAAAAAGGAGGCTTTAGGAAACATATTGAAAAAAGAAGTTTTAGGGGCCAGCCCGGTGGTGCAGGAGTTAAGTGTGCACGTTCCACTTCGACGGCCTGGGGTTTGCCGGTTCGGATCCGGGGTGCGGACATGGCACTGCTTGTCACGCCATGCTGTGGTAGACGTCCCACATATAAAGTAGAGGAAGATGGGCACGGATGTTAGCTCAGGGCCAGCCTTCCTCAGCAAAAAGAGGAGGATTGGCAGCAGATGTTAGCTCAGGGCTGATCTTCCTCAAAATAAAAAAAGAAGTTTTAAAAAATTATTCTTCTGAAGATTTTGAAAATGTTATTAGGATATCTGTGAATTTTGAGAAAGTAGCAAGTTCAAAAGAACACTGGTAATTTTACTGTATGTAAATTTTTTAAGTGAATAAGAAGATTATTAGAATTCCACAATAGATATATAGAAATAGACGTAGAAAATAGGTAGAGATGTACCTATTTTCAGTTTCACTAGAGCAATATATTCTATTCATTCACATGAAGTCTTTCTCACAGAGCAAGAGAGTTCTTCAAAAATTATGTTTGTGCAAGACCGACTGTTTATAGGCAATCTTCAATGACTAGAAAACATACATTTCTGAGAAATGATCACTTCAAAAAAAACTGATCTCTACTCATTGTTTCTGTTGATTCTAATATTAATGCACACAATGCTGTCCTCTGGAAAATGTCTTGTTCACAAGAAATAATAAAATACGATGATTTGTTTCACCTCATGATTCTCCATTTTGTTCCCTGGGGTGGGGGAAGGAGGGAGACTCATCTGAATCCAATTAAAAGACCTTTGATCCTGTTCCTACTGTACGTTAGCACTGGTAAGAGAGGGAAGAAAAGGGGCACCATTATAAAAGAACAGAAACCCGAGTCCTGATCCCTGTTGTCAAACCCCTTCACAATATTTTGAGGGGGCTGGTGTGGAGGAGGGACCACACCTATCAAACTATTTTTAAAAGGCGAGCATTGGAAAAGAGTCCCACCATTTTTCAGAGGAAAAAAATGTATTTCTAAAGATTGGAGGAGTAGAGTCCTCTCTTAGTTACAACAGAGATGGAGGGAAAAGAGTTGGAGACAGGAAAGAGGAAAGTCAGGAAAGAGTGACAGTCTGATATAAGCTTCCAACACCGGCCTTGATGTTGGTTCCCCTACATTAAACCCAGCATAAATGGGGTTAAAACCAAAGCACTCCTCCCCTTTCCCTGCTTACTCCTCAGCTTGCTGGCACCAGCATCCACTATCCACCATGGAGGCAGACAACCACAGACACCCACTTCCAGGTTTCCTTATCTCGCCACCCCACTTCCTGCAGGCAGCCTCACAAGGCCAAAGGCAGGCTGACGGGAAAGCACCAACCAACATGCCTTCAGTCTCCCCTCCCTACAAGCAGCCACATCCCTTGCAGCCTTTAAAACCTCTTGCCTCCCATCATTTAGGGAGACAGACAAATCTGAGGGCTCACTCTTGTCTCCCGGCTGATATCATCCAAAATAAAAACTCTTTCCTTTCCATAAGCCTGGTGTTCCAGTTTTTATTTGGCCCCTCGTGTGGCAGGTAAAGAATCTATTTTTGTAGCCGGTAACGCTTCTGCATGTCACTTCTCCCTCCACTCTCACCGTTTCAAGCTTCGCATCTATTTTGGGGATGAATTGTGTCCCCTCAAAATTCTAGCCCCAGTACCTCAGAATGTGACCTAACTTGGAAATAGGGTCATTGCGCATGTAATTACTTAAGATGAGGTCATATGAGAGAAGAGAGGGCCCTAATCCAATCTGACTAGTGTCCTTATAAAAAGGGGAAATTTGGAGCCAGCCCTGATGGCCTCGTGGTTAAAGTTCGGTGCTCTCACCGCTTCAGCAGCCCTGGTTCGTTTCCTAGTTACAGAACCACACAACCCGCCTGTCAGTTGCCATGCTGTGGCAGCAGCTCACATAGAAGAACTAGAAGGATTTACAACTAGGATATACAACCACGCACCGGGGCTTTGGGGAGAAAAAAAAAGGGGAATTGGCAACAGATATTAGCTTAGGGTGAATCTTTCCCTGTGGGTGTGGAAATCTCTTTACACATATAAAAAAAGGGGGAAGCCATTCAGACACAGGGAAGACACCACATGCAGATAGAGGCAGAGATCAGAGTGATGCATTGGAGTGATGCTTTTCCGAGTAAGGGAACCCCCAAAGATTTCTAGCAAACCACCAGGAGCTAGGGGAGAGGCATGGACTGGATTCTCCTTCACAGCCCTCAGAAAGAATCAGTCCAACACCTTGATATTCATCTTCTGGCCTCCAGAACTGTGAGACAATAAATGTCTGTTGTTTAAGTCACCCAGTTTGTGGCACTTTGTTGCAGCAGCCCTGGCAAACCAATACACCATCCCTCAGTCAGGATTTCCGGCATCTCCAGCTGACGTCAGTAGTAGAAATGACCTTACTTAGTCAATGTTTTGCTGAGCTCAGGTATGGATGACCAATAATTTTGACCCTCTTGGGAACTTTTGCAACCCCAAAGATGTTTGTTAACAAAATCAATCTTCTTTCTAATCAGAAGCCTCTGATCAGCTATGGAGTAAGATGTATCAATAGTGACATCTCTTGCCTGGAAAAGGAGCGGAGGCCAATAGCATACCATGCTCACTGATTCAGAGAAACACATGGACTGAGCAGCAAGGAGTAACTGCCACAGCCTGCAGAATGTCTCCGGATCTGCCTATCCCTGACTGTTGTCACTGGCGGACTTCCCTTGGGCACTGTCTTCCACAGATAATGACACAGAGGACATTGCAAGAGCCCATGACAGGCGAATAGATGATGATCCCATGTCTGCAGGCTTCAACACTTTGAGATGTGCCCACTTTATGACCATAGTTATGGGAATTAACAAAGGTTGAGCTAAATTATATTCCCCAGGCTTGGTAATATCTGGAACTCCCTTAAAATTATAAGCTTCTGCTGGTGATTTCAATTTCTTTTTTTTTTTTTTTTTTTGAGGAAGATTAACCCTGAGCTAAGATCTACTGCCAATCCGCCTTTTTTTTTTTTTTTTTTTTTGCCGAGGAAGACTGGCCCTGAGCTAACATCCATGCCCATCTTCCTCTACTTTATTTGTGGGACACCTATGACAGCATGGCTTGCCAAGCAGTGCCATGTCCACACCTGGGATCTGAACCTTCGAATCTTGGGCTGCTGAAGCAGAACATGTGCACTTAACTGTTGCACCACTGGGCTGGCCCCTCAATTTCTCATAGCTGCAGACTAGTAACTAAATCCGGGTATCTTGTGGAGCCCTGGTCCTTGAATGTGAACTCTCCCTAAACCTGAACTGTAGCCTCCATGTTGCTACCTCCAAATACCAAATCTCTGAGTTCTCACTTCTATTGGCTGGGGCAGGAGGTGGGGAGGGATAGATAATCATTTTTAATCATAATCTCCTTCTGGGCAGTGGTATTTCAGCCAGTGTGCGGGCTGAGATGGAGAGTGTGGTGGACAGGAGTAGCAGTGGTCTTGACAAAAGTCCACGGACCATGTAGGACTGCCCCACCCACCTTAAATCTGGCTATTGGTAAATCTTCCTACAGAGGCTATGTGGCATCCTTAGGAGCATTCGGGCCCTGCTAATCCTGTCTTGCAGGTTGTCAGGAAGGGATGAAGTTTCCAGAAGACCCAGAGCTGGGTAGTGCTCACTTTAAGTCCTGCTGAGGGCCACACGGAGGTCAGGCAGGAGAACCTCACCAGAAGCCAGTGGAAATGATTGAACATATTTTTTTAACTGTGTTGCTAGTTGATAATGTACTATTGAGCATTTTTGTATTGATGTTTGTAAACAAGACGATTCTGTAGTTTTCTTTATGTATACTCTTTGACTAGCTTCTATTATCAAATAGTGCTCATTCATTATTGAAAAGAGTGAGATTTTCTTTCATATTCTCTGCTCTAGAACTAATTAAATTAAGTTTAAATTATTCGTTCCTTAAAGTGTTGGGGAAATTTACCTGATAATTTCATCTCTGTCAGTAGCGAGCCTGTACATTTGCTATGTGGTCTAGGATCAATTTTGCAATTTAATCTTCTCAAAGTGTATCAATGTCATATAGTTTAGCAAGTGTAAATAGGTATTTATTCATTTAGTCAGCATATATTTTTGTGAGCCCCTCTGCTGGGCTCCATCCTAGGTAGTTGGGTTAGATTAGTAAACAAAACCAAAATCCCTGAGCTCTCATTCACGTGGACTCTCTGGATTCCTTCACTTTTCCTAAACCTGTGGGTATTTTCCCCTCTCCATTCTTATTTTGTATGTCTATGATCTGGGTTTTTTTCCTATTAATTAATTAGTAGCTTATCAAGTTATTCTTGCTTTTTCTGGATTTCCCTTAGGGCAAATTTCCCAAAGGAAAAAAAAATTCATTGAGTAGTGCTTCTGTTTTTCTGTTTCCTAATTCATTAACATCTTGTTTTCTTTTACTGAGCTCTTGTCTATTTTTCCTAGCTTGTCCATAGACTTCTAACTTCTTAGGTTGAATGCCTATTTCATTGATTCTTGTTTGTTTTTCTTTTTCTTGTTTAGTGATAAAAACACCGAATATAATGAATTTTTCTCTGAGCACCAATTTAGTTAAGAATTCATGAATCAATTTTGTTATTTTCTAGATATTCTGAATTTTGGTTTTGCTTTCTCCTTTGATTAATAGTTGTTTACAAGAGTTTCTGTCTTATTTTAATTTCTAGTGTTCAAGCTTTTTTTATAGCTTTTATATTCTGCTTTTAATCATGCTGAGTTCAGAGATCATTAATCAATGTTTTTAATATTTCATGGGATTGTGACAACATACATTCTATTTTAAAGTATTGAGTTGGATATAATCGACATACACAAGCAGGGAGCCTGTGTTATACATTTTTACCATCTGGTTCTAGAAAAGCTATTTTGAGTAAGTGGTTCTTTCCTTTAAAACAGAGGTTCTTAACTGGGGGCAATTTTGTTCCACCCTCCTCCAGGGGACATTTGGCAACGTCTGCAGACATTTTTGTTGTCACAACTAGTGGTGGAGTGGAGGGAGGTGATGCTGGCATTTAGTAGTGTCAGGGATCAGAATTGGCCACCCCAAAATGTGTCTCTTTGGCTTGATTATTTTTAAGGAAAGAGACTCTGAAAGAAACTTTGACCTTCCCCCTAACTGCCTAAAAGAGTTTAAGATAGAAGCCTGTCCCCAGGACAGGCCATCACCATAGATAACTCTGGGTATCAGTAGACTGGGAGGGTCCTTGCTAAATCCATTCTTACGAAAGTTCCGTCTACCAAATATTTGCTTTTCCATTTCCATGTGAACTACCTTCTTCCCCTTTGAAGTCCCAAACCACTACCCCCAACATCCTCCTTTGTCTGTAGCTAAAGATGGTATTTAAGGTGGCAAGATTCAGCCATTCTGGCGAGTTACTCAGTTTTCCTGGGTTTCTCCCACATATCCATGTTCTTAAACTTTGTTTGATTTTCTCCTATTAATCTGTCTCATGTCGGTTTAACTCTTAGACCAGCCAGAAGGACCTAGAGGGTAGAGGAATTGTCTTCCTCCCCTACATAGGTAGAGGCCAGGGATGCTGCTAAACATCCTACAGTGCACAGAACAGCCCCCACAACAAAGAATTATCTGGACCAAAATGTCAACAGTGCTGAGGGTGAGAAACCCTGCTAACACGAGAGTCTTTCTTGATAGATGTTAAAATGT